CGCAGACAAGAAAATCGTGCGAAAAGAAAGTTATTTAATAATAATAATGATAATAATTTTATTCTCAAATAACAGTTTGTTACATGAGGCATGCCAGTTTACAGGCAAGATCAAATTGATACCTGTATAAACCATGGGATATCAAGAAATAATATACACATAAGGGTGTTTACAGGATATTTGGTAAAAAATAAATAATAACATATATATGATCGAAAAAGATCAAGCATTTCCGTCTGTTGTTGGGTAAAGCGTAAATTAAAAGTGCAGCTAAATAACTGTAAACACAGAGAACATGGTATGAAATGACAGGCTTGTGAAGTTTCCAACATGCAAAAGTCAATCAAATGTTCTGGAAACGCCGACGTTCTTCCAGAACGCATCGTTCTATTCTTAGATACTAGCGAAGTTGTGTCTTGATCATTATCTACTATGAACTGCATCTTAGTTTCGAGGACTTTTTGGTCCGATTGTGTGGTGAGACTGTCAACATTAATGGGGTTTACTTCTAAGAAAGAGGCTTCTAGCAGGTCGACCGTGACCGTTTCTTTATTATTATTACTATTATTATTATTATTATTATTATTATTATTATTCACAAACATCTTATGGGTAAAGAAGTGTTGTAAAGAAACCATTTCGGGTTTATTCAAAAATGCAATAATACACAAGTTTCAATAATGTCAGCATTATATTTGCCATATTTAAAAAAGGGAAAAAATATAATAATGACAAAAGAATAATAATAATAAATCAGGTTCTATATAATTGATAAGAATATTGAGTGGACTTTAAAGAAGGAAATGGAGAAAATGAAGGAATGGAAATAAGAGAAACGTGAAATACGCAAATAGTTTGACAGGTGTGTTTGTGAACACGGAACAAGGAAAAAACGACTATGTACGTATCGTCAAATTACTAACAAAATGAATAAGGAAGATAACTTATCTTCGTGATTAAGGACTTAGTAGGGTCCTTAGTATTCAGCTTCTGAGGGTCAACATTTTTAGTCGCGACCTACGAAAACGTGAGTATTAAGTCGTTAAACAGGGTGAACAAACACACTAGCTGATTGCGGTCGAGCGCACGTAGGTCTGACTGAACCCACCGCGTTTGTGAGTCTGCTCGTGCGGGAATTAAGATTTACATGCACTGCAGAAGATAAAGGATTTGTAGCAGCATTGAGCCCTAATCACACGGCCCTTGAAGTAGAGCACACAACTACCGGGAAGTCTTACATTCTACGTTTGACACTTGGAAAATGTCAAAACAGATGAGTGCGTGAACAAAATCGAGACGGCATGGCTCCACCATGCAAGCATTAACATTTTATACCATCCCTCCCCTTTCGTAATGAACATATTTTAACTCTAGCCCAAATATGTTCCTTAAACGTTCGTAAAAGCTATACTGACTATCACGAAAAGATGGGTGGGTACAGATGAAGAGGTGTCCTCTACGTAAAGGTTTTTAAGTTAGATAGGCATATCATGACAAATTCAGTGTTAGGTTAGGTCTATTAGTCTGGTAGCACAGATAGGTGCAATAATATCAACGCATACGTACATTCTACAAACATATGAGAACACCGAGCACCGTTCTTCATCAGTAACGTCCCTGATAAATACCGCTTCTAGCCATTGTGTGAAACACTCCACACGTGTCTGGAGATAAGATTATCCATTAGAACATGGTCAGGGTTCCACCTAGTCTTGATGAAGACGGTCGAAACGAACATCAAGAGTTGCAAAACAGCCTAGGGAACATTTGTTGTGTCCAGTCACCTTAGATTTCTGCCAGCTTACACAGGAGCATGCCCACTTTCCCACGTTTTTAATTACACCCGGTCAGTGAAATCGACCTGTCATGAGCCGGATGGCTGCCCCGGCACCTAAGTGAGAAAATTCGTGAAGCGTATTGAAGACACTGAGCCAATAGTGTTTCGGCACGATTGGACAATCCTTACCTGTTGACATGTCACACATTCAAGTTTCCTTACCTGTTACTATCTGTCTACTTTGTAGTCTCAGAGTTATTATAGATAACTCGTTCTGAATATCAGCGTCTTCTTGAAGCTGAGCGAGTTCAATAAGGTCGATTCGCTAGAAATTGTTCAAGGAAATTATAAGAGACAAGACGTCCGCCACTACATCAACGATCAGGAATGGTTTTCGCATTCAGTCACCGATAGTCATCAGTTGGACGCCAATCATTGCTGTCCTTTTAGGGACTGTTTGATGGTCGGATATTTCATAAGACTATCATGTGGTCTGTTACGTCCGTGATCTGTCTACCCACTTTTGATGCTGAGGATAACTAGTCTAATCTAGATTAAGACCTTGACGCGATGGACTGAGCGGCTTAACCTCGAGGCTAGTGCGCGTGAGTTCGAAGTGGGGTAGAGAGAAGAAAACTATCATATCACCTGATTGGCTGACAAGCACGCGTGTGAGAGAAGACATGTCAACTGGAACACTACTCGATTTATTCTCAATTCCGATCAGGCTCCCGATTTGCCGATTTCAGACCAGTGTAAAAAGATACATGAATAAATAGATGACTAACCTGACCACAACGTACAATAGTTAGGAAAATACAACTATGTCCAGAACTGAGGATTAGCGTACAGAATAGTGTACAAAATAATAAGTCCAAATTACAATAGCTTTGGAACAAAAAGGGCTATGGCAGTGAATCATACATCAAACGAAAGCTTATGTTCTGCAGAATAGACTAGGGACAAAATTAGGTGTTAGTGTTTTACAAGCTTTGAACTAACTGAAATAACGTCCTGAAAAATAGCTTCCATATTTTGTCAAGGCTTCGTGTTCCTCTGTTCACACCATGGTCGAATTCGTTTTTTGCCAAGCTCAGCTTTTCGGGAACTAATTGGTGCGCTTTCGAGAATACTGGCAGTCTTGTATTTTTGATGTGAAACATTTCTGGTTACAAATGGGAATTTCGGTTGCGTTTGTTATATCTCGTGGTTTGTATCGTGTATTTTTAATAGTGTGGATCGGTTATACGCCTTTCTGTGACGGGGGACAATCTTCAACAGGAAATGAAGTTACGCAAACAAATGAATTAGTGTTTCTGTTTACTAACCTCTGTTTCTGAGTATCAATGAGTAGATATGATGGATGTGAGGACTATGAGTGGGAGTAGTTCAGAGATATGTGTTTTCGTTCTTCAGTCGCTTGACGTTGTTATTTGACAGAGTAAACCTGATGTTGGGGGTACTGGTGATCTACACACTCCAACCGATAGATGCAGCCAGTTTTTCTTGGAACTAAACGAGAAGCACTTTGACATTTCGGAGAAGCTTGGACAGGAATTGTTGTTTAAAGAGGCCCTCGTCAAGAGTTTGTTCACCAATAACCCTCACATACGTATCAACACATCTGTTGCTGGGCCATATTGCCATTCGATGTTGTGGAATAAACGGTCTTGCCTTTGTCGATCAGTTAGGTCTCCAGGCTCAGAGGTAACCTTTGTTGATGTATAACAAGCTTCGGAAACATAACTAGTAAGCATACTAAGTGTAACGTACTTGTCTCAAGTCACGTGGCAATGCCATCGCCGCTGCGAGGGACTTGCCGGGTAGATCCTTCAAGCTGTGTCCGTGGAAGTCAGCCTCTGCGTTGCAGGACAAAGATTAATTATTATCAGGCCACATTGGAATGAGTTGGAAAGTGGTTGGCACGAAAATCTTAGTCTCGAAAAGTTTTACTGTGTTCATACAGCAAATATGATATAATTATATGTATATATAAACACCCCAAAGATATGAGGACACCAAATTGATAGTTTTACATGTTAAACAAATATATGTATGTGATATTACAACAAGGAACAGACTCAATTCATCACTTGGTTTACCAAATAAAGCTGGACACACTTAAAAAGATGTCGCGATTATTAATGACTTGATAACGCTGGTGACTGTGACGCTTTTGTAATCGAAAGATACAAACATGGCCAAATCAGAGGTCAGGAATGTACGAATTCGAGGTACATTCAGAAGTTAGTCGGTGTGTTGGACAGCATTTGAGCCAAGCTGACCAGTCATCTCATGAGACATGTAGAACAGAGTACGCAGTGGTGATTCGGTGCGGACACTTGACCGAGTGCCTTCAGCCAAGGTGTGCATGATGGAACTAATGGGGTCAGCATCAGTGTCGAACGCCTACGGAACTGTTTATTTTGGGATATTCTTTTTAATGTTGTGGTCGTGCGTACATGATTGTCAACCTGATTAGTCCTGAATAAGACAAACAACAGACTCCTGAGAATAGTTCTGAAACGTCTGCCTAGTCGTCTGGGTCTCTAGGCTCTTTCAGATCACCGATGTAAGTGATCTACGTGAATGATCGCGGCGTACTCAAGCCTGACGGGAATCGGTGTGATCCAGCTTGTCAATGTCACATCTCGCGGTTAATACTCAGTGTAGACAATCCTGATGTGCGACACACGTTGGCATATAGTACAAGTATGTGGTCATTGTATAATACATGTAGGAATAGGTCTGCAGCACAGTGCGATAACTCGCATGAGGTATCCCATAGCGTAAGACCCACGTTAGTTATCATAGAATACGACCATGTTCCACAAACTAACTATAAATTATTGATCAGTTGTCTAAATTTGATTTAGCCCAAGCGATGAATTGTCTAGGACTCACTGATGTTACCCTGACCCTACACTATACCATTAAGCTAGATTATATCAAATCTAAATCTCTTATCATATATGCAGCTTGATTATGATCTTGAGATCTCTTAATAGTGATTTCGGATCTTACTTGACTTCATTTTTATTGTCTTTCGTAGCGACGTTAATATGAGAACACAAAAATAGTCCGTGGAATTGGAACAATATATTTCCAAGCTGACTCCAGAATTATACCTAGAGTCGTGAACGAGAAAAACTGTTTCTTACCCAGGAGTACCTTATTTTTATGTAAGTGCATATAAAATAAGGTCCAATCATTCCGCTGATCACCACTATCAATGCTATTACAGGTTTCTCAGTCACTCACTTTTCCACCACGTAACATATTCAAGTTTGAGAGTGTTATATGGAAACATGATAACATACTGATTTAATAATAAATCTCTACGTTTATTTTTTCGTTCTGTAAAAGCCCTTGTTTAAGTATTACTGATATCTGTAAAATTATAATATGACGGTTGGAACCGTATATTATAGTTTGTTTTAGTCACTTGCTTCAAAATAACCACGCTTTATAGTTCTCACTTCGTCTCCCTAAACTCGTGGCGATGGCTTCAACAAACGGCAGTACGGAGATATCTCAGGCTGATAAGAATGTAGAAATGTGGCGGATCAAAAAGTTGATCAAAAGTTTGGAGTCTGCTAGAGGGTAAGTGATTTATGACCAGTCATTTCACATATCAGTAATGGGACGAGTATGATTTCGCTCATCATTCCTCCAAAGGATCAGATTACTAGGATAGCGAAATTGTTAGCCGAAGAGTATGGGACAGCATCTAATATTAAAAGCCGTGTGAATCGCTTATCCGTCCTGAGTGCGATAACCTCTGTACAACAACGTCTGAAGTTATACACTAGAGGTTGGGATCAGTAATTTTTCATTTTTGTAGTTCCTACCAATGGCCTTGTTGTATATTGTGGGACAATAGTCACTGAGGATGGTAAAGAGAAAAAGGTCAACATCGATTTCGAACCATTTAGACCAGTAAACACGTCTTTATATCTTTGCGACAACAAGTTCCATACAGAGGTTTGCTGATTTTCACCACTCTAACGTAACTTAGGCCTTAGTAGCGCTGCTAGCAGATGACAGCAAGTTCGGATTTATTGTCGTTGATGGTAATGGGGCTTTATTTGGGACATTATCGGGAAACACTCGCGAGGTTCTGCACAAATTTACGGTAGAATTGCCGAAAAAACATGGTCGCGGAGGTCAATCTGCACTTCGTTTCGCACGTTTGCGGATGGAAAAGCGGCACAATTATGTTCGTAAAGTAGCCGAGACAGCAACGCAACTTTTTATAACAAACGATCGACCGAATATCGAAGGTCTCATCCTTGCGGGGATTGCTGACTTCAAGAGTGACTTAGGACAATCTGATATGTTTGATCAAGTTAGTGGACTGGTGAATAATAACATTTTTTCAGAGGCTTCAAGCAAAGTTGATTAAAATAGTAGATATATCATATGGTGGTGAAACAGGATTTAACCAAGCTATCGAACTGGCCACAGATACACTTTCTGGCGTAAAGTTCATTCAGGAAAAAAAACTGATTCAAAGATACTTTGACGAGATATCTCAAGTGAGCCTTAGTATATTTGTTTTACCTCTTACAAAGGATAGTGGAAAGTACTGTTTTGGTGTTGAGGACACCTTGAAGTCCCTAGAGATGGGTGCTGTGGAGACCCTCGTGGTGTGGGAGAACCTTAGTGTAAACCGCTACGTCCTCAAAGTCCCGAATTCTGAAGGTTAGTATAGTAAAGGTAATAGGGAGTTGTTACTTCACTATTTCTACTACGATGTCAGGCGCAATTGTAAGTGATAAAGTGCACTTACAATCGCAGTGACACAAAATAACGCGATCAATCACACTGATCTCTTTCTTGAGAGAATTGAGATGGGTGTGATTTTGAGTCAGTGATTGACAAATCCCAAGTCTTAGATTTGTTAGACCGAGACTCACATATGTTAAGGTTTTTGTCACTGCATTATCCTGCTTGCTTGAATTTGCTTGCAGGCAGTACACGTGACGTACATCAAATTGATGACAAGGAACAATCTTGATGCGTTGCTCTGAATTGAGCAATTGCGTAAAGGCATGGTCCTACATTGTATTTAAAGCGGTTTCACACTAAAAATTTCTTTCTTTCAGGAAATAGAGTTATACACTTGCGTCCTGACCAGGAAACGGACCGACGACATTTCATTGACCCGGCGACAGGATCTGATTTGGAAATTCTAGATACTCAGCTTCTTTTAGACTGGCTCGCCCTAAACTACAGATCTTTTGGGACGACTTTAGAAATTGTCACTGACAAGTCTCAGGAAGGTGCTCAGTTTGTTCGCGGCTTTGGTGGGATAGGTGGTAAGTCTGTTAAATTCAACCGTTACACATCCTATAAACGTTTCGGTCCATTATGTATAAGGTTCTCAAATAGGTCTGTATATTGCTTACAGGGAATGTCAAGGCAACTTTCGTCATACGCAAACTGGTTAATGGACTCGGCACCTTAATATGTGTGCTCATATCAAGTTTTCTGCCCTCCATAAATCGCTATCCTAGTAGGCATGTGCTGCGTATTTTTCGTTGGTAAATGCTCTGAGTGAGACGGCAATTTGAGAGGTATTGAGGTATCGAAGCCGCAGTCTCTTGGTTTCTGTACTGTTCACTGAAGAACGTAGTTTCCAGTCGTTAAATTATGTTCAATGGACTACTGGGATAACTTGCACTAAGAAAGGGAATGATGAATAATAAACACCATTGAAATTGAAAAGTTAAGAATGGATGATATAGCTGTAGCATATAGATCTTCACGCCGAGTCATTAACCTTCGGGATCAAGTACTCGAAGAACTGGTATATACACATTCAATTGACACATACAACACTAGGCACTGCGGCTTACCAAAAAGTGACTAATATAGATCCATCAGAATTCTGCACTCAGTACATCTGAGTTGTCGTATCAGTATACACCTGTCTTTGATTGACCTGCTTCTGAGCTAACCTAGACTTCTGATGTATCAATTTCGTTGATTGAAACATCTTTGTCTAGTGCGCTTTGGTATTACGCATCTGTGCAAGTAACCGACAGGCAGTAGCAAATTATCTATTTTCAGGGGTAAACACAATTGGATGCATTTATCTTAGTTGGGGTGCATACCCTGCAAAGTATAAATAAACTTCACTGATGAAATACTATGCACACGGAGAATGTGGAAGGGTCCTGAGTTTTTCTCATGTTTAGTAAGTTTTTACATACTTAAAAGTTATTGGTTTGCTTCTGCAGGTATTCTACGCTACCAACTCGATTTTAATCATTTGGCGGGTGGAGATGTTGATTTTGAGGATGACTTCAATCTTGATGATTACTGACAAACCAGTCCAACCTGCGGTTGGCGCAGGTTTCCGTACGGCCGTTCTCCATGGTTTGAACACAGGTTTCTAAGGATTATTCCCAAGGATGATTTTTGCAGAATTGAAAAACAGGCTTTTGAAGAGTTCAATTTAATTTCGGTTGTGATACTAAATAATTTTCTTAGTTGAATGTAGTTTTTAATGTCCTTGTGCTTAGTTTCAATATGGGAGTCGACTTCCAATTCTGCGAGATGGCTGTAAGCACAGGTTAGGATCTTTCGACTTCACATGAGCACCTAAAAATGTTAGTTAAGCAATATAAAACCGACAAGATTCACCACTGCACTGCCTCAAATAACATATCTACTTCATATGGAAATGCATCTTATACTACCTCAAGATTTACGCCTCCTAAGTTAGCCTTATGATGCGTTGTCGTGTTTTATGGAACTAGTTTTCTTAAACTTATTTGTGCGTTTGCACTGCTGGCTTTTATATCAACACTACTAAGCGATGTATCGTTCTATTAAGCTTTGCCTGAATTTAAGTTGCTTTCTCTGGACACTGACTGCGAGAGTACGTTTTGAACTTCTGTCGCAATCAAATTAATCCTAGCTCATGACGAACTATCATCTGCTTCCGCAACCTCAATTAGTGTCCGGCAAGGTTGTCCACTATCTCCGTTTCTGTTCGTTTTCATCATAGACATACTGCTGAAAATAACGTTCTCGTCAACTGAATTTTCGGGCATTGATCTCCATCCAGGAGGTTCAGTTATCGATTTGGAATACGCAGGTGATATAGTCTTGTTTGGTGAAGGCGATGGTAAAGTGCAGTCTTTTGGTAGCACTGAGCAACAATGCGAGGATATTTGGGATGCGTTTCTCCCCCTCATAATGCAAGTTGTCACTTCGGGACTGGTCTGCGTCAACACCTGAACTAAGGATAGGAAGTGGAGTAGTCGTGCGTGTTGACAACTTCACTTATCTTGGAAGTCTGATCAACCGTAATGGGTTGGTGTCTGGCGAAATCTCAGCACGGATTCAGAAAGCTTGCTTGGCTTTTACCAACTTACGTGACTTATGGCGAAGGTGAGATATCCGTCTACCAACTAGAGGACGAGTATACTGCGCAGCAGTCCGTTCAGTTCTACTTTACGGCTGCGGAACGTGACCATTAAGAGTGGGAGATATTCGTAAGCTACTAGTATTTGACCACAGATGCCTTCGAAATATTGCTCGCGTCTGCTGGGATCACCCGGTAAGTTATAGTGAAGTTAGACGCAAGGTATTAGGGAATGGTGGTAAGTCAGTTGATAAAGTTGTGGATCTTCATCGACTGAGATGAGTCTCGTGTTGTGTATGTCTGAACACCGATTACCACGACGTGCAATGTCGACTAGTGTCGGGGATGGTTGGAAGAAAGGGGCGGCCAAACGAAAACATGGCATCAACTCTTGAAGTCACCAATTCCTGGTCTGAGTCATGTTGGTAGATACAGACTACTTAATTGGGGTCTACGTGACTATCGTAACCAATGGTTGGAAACTGTCGGTGATATGGTTCAGAATCGACCACAATGGCGTAGGTGTACACACTCTGTCTTCCCTTAAACTATGAGATTAAAATTGTTTAATGTTTATTTCTACGAACTAATTCATTCTTCCTGTACTATGTCCTTATATGCAATTTTTCTTTTATATATTTTCACTTGAATTGACTACTTCTATGAATCCAGTGTTAATCTTGTGCTAATGAGGTATGGCAACTTGGACTGATGCACATATGTGCTGGTCCTGCGTTGTAGCTGACTGAGTGACAGCAGGCCAAATACTAGATTCGTATGCTTTCGAAATATGACAATTTCAGGATGTTAGTTCATTCATCAGGACTCGTCCTCTATCTGTTCAGTAGTCCTAGTGCATCCTGCTAATAATCCCCTAATCAGGGGAATTATATTGCTCTTTACATCTCTAAGGTATTCAAACACCTAACTTTGAACAATATCAAGATGCTAACTCACGTTGCTTATATGTCAGTATACCGATCAAATGCATTCCTGAATATCATGTGAGGAAATACATGTAAATGTTGGGAAACTGATATTAAGCAATTCTTAAGACATATTTAAGCTTAAAGGCAGTGCGAATAAAAATAAAACGTTATCAGCCACTTAAAAAAGGACTGTGCGTGTGCTACGTTTGCTAGATAAGCAGAAATATGAACCTAGAAATCTGTATTATAATTAGGGTTTCCGTTTAGAATCAGTTACAAGTCTCTTTCTTGTCTGTGTTCTTCGAATTGTTTAGCTCTTACAAAATTAAGTGGCTTTTTGGTTGTCTACGTAAAATATTAGCATTTTTTTCTCGATAACTGACTAAATGTATTAAAATCAAACGCTACATATGCAAAACATAATTTAGCGAGAAATAATACAATTCGCTTGCCAACCATAGATTATTGTCTATTTCGACAAGTTCGTGGTCAGAGGCAATTCAACAAACGATTCAGTCTCAATCACATTATTATCAGATTTTAGAATATTGCGAATATTCATCTGTGTGACGGTCCCCGCCCTTCCAGACATCTGGTGTTATAATTCATATCAAAATTGACAGTTTTTCGAGACGTCGAACATAGGGACTTAAGCGGAAATCGTAGGGTTAATGGTTTGACTAGGAAATGTGGACATCCGGTTATCTTCATTCAGAAACTTGAGATTGATACCAACACGTCTTTTCGATATCTTTAAACAATTGCACCGTATACTGAAAACTTGAAACTACTCGTTAAACCTTTTCCGGTTGGTGTTATGGTTATACTTTCGGCTTGATAGCATCAATATAATTTAAATCACTCATTTGAACTCAACTTTCTGTGGTGTGCACGACTTTCGAACTATGGGTTGGTTCAGATATTTCCATCTTGCGTTTCTGTCAGTCTTCAGTAATAAGGATAGGAGGTCTATCGACCTATATGAATTCTTGCAGTTTGTAATACTGTGTTAACAGAAGGTGCTGACATTACGTGTTCCGGTAGAGAATTCCGGTAATTCACTACTCGGTGCGAGAAACGGAACTCCAGACGTAAACGATTTGATCTCGGTTTTTGAACTTTCTTCGAATGTCCTCTCAAATGATCGGTCCTAGACGGAAGCAAGAAATAAGACACGTCAATACCAAGGTCATCGTTCAGTATACGATAAGCCAATATTAGATTATCCCGTAATCTACGGTAAGATAACGGAAATAAGTTAAGGTGTCTCAGTCTATCTTCATAAGATAGGCCAGATAGACCCTGTACCATCTTAGTACCTCGTCCTTGGACTCTTTCCAGCACATCTGCTTCATACTTGGAACAAGGACACGCTACTGGAAAGACCTACGAACTGACCATAATACCCTATAGCCTTTTGCAGCAGCAGCTTTACAGTGACTAGTGGTTTTGAAATCATTGCTTAATATGACTCCTAAATCTTTCTTTGGGTAGCACGAATCCACGTAGTGTATAGTGATACGATTCATCAGAGTTATTTTACCGCATCACTACACTCTTATTAGGATTTACTTCTAGTGACCACCTGTCTAACCATGCCACCGATGAGTTAAGATCATCCTGTAATACCATTCTATCCAATATACTATGTATAGGTCTCCAGATCTTTATGTCATCAGCGCAGAGTGGGACGGATGATTTTGCTGCAGTTGGCAATTCATTTACATAAAGTAAAAAGAGAAGAGGGCCTAGGATTGTACCCCACTTTTTACAGGTACCCATGAGAAGAGAGCCCCATTAACCCTGCCATGCATCAATCCTAACTTCAAGTTTCATACTGAAGTCAAAACTAGACTTCTGGCGAAGTACCAGTTGATAACTGCGAAATCAAGCCACTCATCTTCATGATCGATGTTACCTCTAATCTGTTCGGACAGCGACAGGATTCCGTGGGGCAGGTAATTACAATTGGTCACCATGTAGTGATATTTAGCGTTTGTTCAGTCCTTTATTAATAGTCTAGACGAGTCACTTAAATTAATGTTCACGTTGTAACTTGGTCGACTTGACAGAAAAGGTTGCTCACTATTCAGTGACGAGTCAATTGTAGATAGGCTCAATTCTTAAAGCTAAGCAACCCAGTTCAAGACTGGTCGCAGAAAGTAATTTTGACTGAAATATTCTGGTAGTAGATCAATTAACAGTGGGAGAAATAATACCGTCCATGTTCGTTCACTGTTATTTAAGCCACGTTATTCATCATTAATCATATTAACTTGATGTACGGAAAAGAAAAAATTGAGACCACAGAACTTTAAAATGTGCGTAGACTTTCATATATCCTTTTACAATTAAAATTGGTACTTAGTTTTCACTGAAAGCGTGCTTTATTTAAGAGGATAGAGTATGTACCGCAACTAAAAAATCGCTACTACCTACCGTGACATTTGCAAAAATCAATTTATTTATTATAATTAGTTACAGTAGTGACTAAACTTATGGTTGAGAGTCGACCAAATTTAATTTGTAGTCATTATAACGGTTGGAGGGTTACGTTTTCAGGTAGCTGGTATATTTAACGAAGCTTAAGGACAATCAAGTTGAACATCCCATCACAAGATTACTTAAACCTACCAACTTATAATTCACACATAAATATCGAACTTTTGTCTGAATAACAACAGACCCATTAGCACTGCTATATTCCAGTTAACTAATTCTTTTTAAGAGATGATTAACAAATTTCTAAATTGATTGTCTTTACATCTTTGAGTTAAAATGTTTCGATAATCATAAATACCCTTAGGATAATATGTGGCTTTTAACAAACATTGCTACCTGATTGTGTTAGACCACTTCACATTAAGATGTCCCGATTTCCGTTATCACATGAATGATATCTTTAAACTTAGTAACTTGTTAACAGCTAAATGAATAGCATGAATTAATTATTTGCCATTACATGAATTTATATTATTTTTAAACGTTTAGATTACTGTGAGGACTTTCATATAGAAAATTATAGCGGTCTTATTAGAGATAGTCATCTACATTTGAGGTTTACATAAATGTTTAGATTGAGATCTAAACTGGAGCACTAGGATTATTTCCAACTTTCGTTAGGAAACTATTCAATTAAGCCAATGTATATTCAGATATATGTAGTAAGAATAAAAGGCCTATGGCATTCCTTT